TTCACTCACCTGTTCACATGAATATTGAGATCATAACTCCTTTTTATTTGTACAGGCTCTGGCACAATGGGGATCTAACATGATGGCTCTTTAGATGCCATCTGTGCATCTGCTCTTGGGCTGGGTTCAGCGTCTCGCGCTCTGTAGGCTCTTGGAACAGTATATTGGTAACATTGCATTTATTTTAAATTATTTTTGACCAAGTAATCTGGGCTCTGTTAGCTTTGATGTGAAAACACCTTTATTCTGGACTCTTCTTGAGGTTCTTTTTTTTTCCCCGCTTTATTTCCATCTAGTGCAACTAAGGATGCAGCAGTTTCAGGTGTCTTCAGCATGGGGTGCTGTGACTCGTGAGCCCGCAATAGCCGGGGATTTACACCGGATTCAAGGTTCCTCCGAGCCAGGGGAGTGCTCCACAAACAGCAGAGCCAACGAAATCGGGGCTGCTGATCTGTCTGCTTTAAAAACAAGTTGGGCAGTTAATTCAGTACAGGTAGTAGTGTCTTTTTGGTGCTACTGCTTAAAACTTCATTTTCTTTCATAGCTTCTTAATTTAAAAGAGTTTAAAACTTAAATTTACAGCTTTTTAATTTGCTCAGCTAAGAGCAACAGTTATATTTTAGCTATTTTTTTTCCCACTGTTTAGAAGGCAATTTAGTCCCTGGTGATGTCTGGAATTTTTATGCCTTTTTTTTTTCCTTCTCCTTAAAACACTACACTTGCATGAATAGTGTTTGCTACATTCATAGAGTCGAGGTCTATGAGGGACTATTGGCCATGATTCAGCCTTTGGGAGCAGGAGTCCCTTCTGTCCCCTCTGATATCCGTGTGGGAGCCTCCAGCGGTGGGCAGAGGTCGCAGGTTTTTACACCTTTTCCTGGAGCGTTGGCTACTGGCCTTGTGCCCCAGCCTGTCCCTTGGCCTGCGGGAACGAGAACCCACGGACAGCAGGAAGCCGAGTCCCTAAAAGCATCCAGAGGAGTTTCACATTATTTTCATAAACTAATCTAACCGCTCTCATCCATCTGTGTAAACTAATTATTTTTTAATTAGCTGGTCTTTTTGATTGCTTATGGAGAGCTGTGGTGAAATTTGCCACTAATTATGCTAGGGCAGGAGGAGGCCACTGGATTGTTAGGAAGGATGAGACTATTTTATTTCCTTTTGTTGGAATGGGGAGCAAGGAGTAATTGATATTAAAAAAAAAGGGCTTTTTTTTTTTTTTTTTTTTTTTTTTTTTAATTTCAACCTATGTGGCTTCTGTTAACCTTACTAATTGAGGCTGTTTCTGTGGGCCAATCTGTCTGAGGTAACATCTACAGGAACTTCAGCACAGGAAGGGAATCGAACTGTTGCAACGTTAACATTTTTCTTCCTCTCAGTAAACGTAATGCGCACAGTACTTGGTTCTAGAATTTGGGTTTTGGTGAGCTTTGACATTGAGGGACTTACTAGGAAGGAATTTTCTAAGCTGAAGTGCCTTTTTTTTTCCCCACGGTGGTTGAAGATGTGTTTAGAAACCAGGAGGGAGGCAGGAGATGCACATCCTGTGCGGTCTCCTCCGCAGTCCCTCGTCCATCGTTTGCAGCTGGTGTGAGGCCTCTGTGCCGCACAACAAAGCAGCATAGCTGTGACCACGCGCAGAAGAGAAGCCTTTTTTGGTGAGGCAGACCATTTTCAGCTTTTTTTCAGTCCTGCACAGCCTTGCACGGTGCGGTGCAAGCTTTGCCAGGCCTGGTGGGCAGGGCTGAGATCCCCTCCCAGGCAGGGCTTAAGCCCATCATGTCGTCTTCCTTCTACCATGCCAAAGATTATTCCTTTCCTCCACACTCTGTCATGGGCTTCAGGGCTGTTGCCATAACTATAACCACCCTTGCTTGTCTCTAGATTAAACTGTCCAAAATTGTTCCATTTTCATAACTACTCTTTTATTTTTAAAGTCTTTTTGTCATTTTTGCTGTTTTACTCTAAGTCTTTCCTTCTGCTCCATTTCTTTCTTAAAGTATAGCACCCAGAATAATGCTTCTAGATGGCATCTTGCATGTACAAAGGAGAGTGCAAGGGTTGTTGATCATATCTTATGAGCTAGGCTCGTCTTTTGTGCGCACACACACACACACACAGAACATTGATTCTTTCTAGAAATGATGTGTTGCAGTTTCCTTTTTCTGTAGTGAAGCAGCAAGTAACTGCTAGTGCCATGTAGAATTTTGTATTTTTTCTCTTATGGAAATGTTGTAACTGGACTATTTTTTTTTTCCCTTCCTACTCTTGCTTCCATTTGTGAAATGGTTGTCCTTGGATAACTGCAATGATTGACTCAGCGCTCTGTGATTCTCTTTTCTTACATTAGGGCATTTAGCAGACCTTCCAAAAGTGACTCTTGAACCACCTTCAGTCTTTCTGAAGATTTAACCCAACATATTTAAGTATGTTTAGCTCCTTCCACCTCCTAAAGTAACCTCCCTAGGTTACTTCCTAAAGTAACCTCCCTAGGTACATGCTTTTCTCTGCAGCTACTTGTGATCCTACAGAATATGGGATGGACATTTAAGTCTATCTTCTTGCACCTTTACTTAAATCTTGGATTTGAGACATTTTCTGTGGCTTCTGAAACTGAGTTTCACTGAGTAAACCTCCTTTTTAGCTGTGCTGTGGCTTCTTGATGAAATTAGGCTAATTTTACTCAACGAGCAATGTTTTAGTGGAAAAAAAAATGCAGTGTCCTTTATCCCAGTAGATCATGCCCAGGAATGCTCTGTACGTGGGGGTGCTCTGTGGTAAGTGCTTCTGGCCCAGACTCTGCATCCCCATTTCATTCCTGAGTCACTCCACTTGCCTCCTCCTTACAAAATAGGCTGGCGAGTGCTAGATTTCAGTTGTCCTGTTTCTGGTGCTGTTTGGTCTCTTGAGGACACTGTGGCCACCAATAGGAAGAATCCCCATATTTTTCTTATTTACTTCTCCGTAACAGTGGTTGTGTGGCTAATGAACAGAAGGGTGAAAGGAAGTAGCTTTGCTTGTGTTTGGGAGAAATAACTAAAGAGCATCTGTCTTGAGGAAGCAATTTAGGGTACAAATCCCAATCAGAGAGAGGTACAATTTAGAGCTGTTGGAATTAAATTAGGGTTAGAAGAATAGAGGTGAAGAAAGGATGTGTGTCCTACTGTGTATTTTCTATGGCTCATGCCAAGATGTGGGGATTTCCTGGGTTCTTAATTACACCATATTTTTTTTTCCAGGAGAAAATTAAGCTGTTATCTTAAAGCTTTCTCTGGAGCATAAACATCATAAAAAAGCAACCCCTAAAGTAGTGCTAATAATCTGTAAGTCTTTCTGCTTATGTAGAATATTGTGAGGGACTTTATTTTGAGATGTTCTGTAGCAGAGAGGTGTCAGAAATTACTTTTTGAAGGGTAAGGAACCTACCTTCAAAGAATCCTTGGAAAATTGTTGCTGGGAAGAAAAGTGCTGTTTATTAATTAAAAAAGTAACATAACAAAAGCAATCAGCCTGTAAATTAGCCAGTTACAAGTAATTACCTGGGTGTTGTGGAGGTTTCTCAAGTGAAGGAAGGAGTTTAAATTAGAGGGCAAACAGAAGAGTTTTGAAGCTGCTTTCTGTTTCCAATGGAAATGCAATGGAACTGAAGACTTGAAAAATACCTGTGCTGGGTGAATGTACCAGGTTTGTGTGGCTCTTGCTTGGATTGCCAGTAGATCTATATAGATCAGAGCATCCTCTAAAGCCAGAGGACGGGAACCTCAACTGCACAAGAGGAATCTTGAGAAGCCTTCTATTGAAAACTGCCTTCTAAAATGTTGGGTTTAGCTCTTCTGTTACTTCACTGTGTGTGTTAGCTAGAAAATAGCTAGGAAAAAAATAAACAGGCAAACGTGGTTCGGGTCCTGTCAGCCACAGACAGGATGAAATATCCTACCCTAGAACCTATCACACCGCGGATGCCAATGCTGACCTGCATTTCCTGTGGAAATCAGCAGCTGTTTCTCATCTTTCCTGGGGGTTTGCTTTTCAGGAGCGTGTATTATTTCTTCAGAAGTTGTTTGTTTGTAACTCGGTTTTATCGTCCCTCCCCGCCAATGCCCCTCTTCAGCTCCCTGTCTGCCCCGCTGCAGGCTCCCCTCACTAACCTCAAGCAGTTGCAAGCAGGATCCCCGCTGCGCAGGCTGCAGCTGGCGGCCAAGGCCGGGCTGCCTGGCCCCTCAGCCGCTGTGTCTGGTGGAGGGCTGCAGAAAGAGCTGGCTGCAGTACGTAGAAATGACAGGCTCTCTCCTCAGGAGCTGCTCACCTGTGAGCGGGGCAAAAGTGTCCTGGACACAGGCTGCCAGGATGGTGCCACACACTGCTGTGAAACCTGGGCTTGTCACACTCGCCTCTGCTTCTCGGCACTGTCTAGGATAGGTCACAAACCCATCAGTCTGCGGTCAGCCCCAAATCCTGCGCTGTTGAAAGCTGGTCAGGGCAATGCCTAAGAGGAGTGAGGACTTCTTACTCTCGATGAACACCTGGCAGCAGAACAAGATGGTTTTAATTAAGATTCCTCTCTTCTTGCATTTTTGCCCAGTTTTGACAGCAAGAGCCTGTCCTGGACTGACATCGCCAACTTTTTCAAGGGAGTAGCAGCCAGTGGTTATTATGTTCGACTGCTGTAATGCTGCTATCTACATTGTTTGTGTCTTACCTGAAATAAGATGGGTCTGAAGACACACCACAGTACTGCACAGTGACTTTCATCAGTACAAATGTTTATCACTGGGGGCAGAGCAGGTAGATCCTTAAGGCACATAGAAGTAGGTGAAACTGCAGTTTATCTGAACCCAGGCACATTAACAAAAATTTTTATTAGACTATTTCATATAGCACCACACAAAAGGTACACTGTGCTTTGTTGCCCTTAAAGAACATGCCAAAAAACTATAAAAATTAGGGAAGTCATCCTGGAAGAGCCATTGGTTCTGTACATAATGTTTTAGCGGTCCTCCAGGCAGATTAAATATTGTCCCCACACCCATTAGTTCTCTCTCCCCTTCCAGGTTTTAAGCTTTGCTCAAAAAGAAGTCCCGCTTAGACCCAGCTGAGCAACTGGGCTTTCAGGAGAAAGGTTCACTCAGAGCTTCTACCAGTAAATCCAGCTGACAACATACTAGGCAGCTGCTAATTTTTATTTCTATTTCTTGAGAAAAGCAACTCAGTCTTGATTAATGATAATAATGTGAACTGGGTTCTACAAATCAGTTCCAGGCAAATTAAGAAAGGTTTGGAACTGGCTCTTATTTCTGCCTTGTGTTCAAAAGGAAACTAGGAGTAATACTTTGATATAATTGCAGGTAAATAGTGACACAGGGAAATATAAGTGACTTAGGGTCATTTAGTCCATCCACTGTTTCAATACAGATTAAGGTAATAGCTTGAAAATATTTCCAATATAAGATGCTTGTAAAGCATTTATTGACTTGTTATATTTCTTACACAGCCAGATGCTTGAACTGTACTCTGTTTCTTAGTGTGAATTGTCCAGAGTAAAGTTTTTAATTAACTTTCACACTATTAAATACGCTTTTTGATATTCTTTCTGTAACTCAGGTGAACTGGCAATATTTCTATTTTGCCTGAATAGGGAACACACAGATGTTTCAGAACATCCTTTATTCAGTGCATTTGGGAGTTCAAGAAAGGCTAAGTTATTTGCATAAAGGGAACCTTAGCAAGTCAACAATATTGAGAGAGCTGTGGTCAACCAGAAGTGTGGAATGGACCCAGTGCTAATGCATATAAAGAGAGTACTGAAAAACTTCTAAGCTTCCAGCTTCACTGACTCCAGTATGGAACGTGCTTCTTTATACTCTTCAGCTTCTTCCAATTCTTTTTCATTTTCCTGGAATTAAAAAGAGCCTTTGAGTACTTCAATAATAACTGACATGTGACTAAATATAAGAAGGAAACCATGAAGCAAAAAGGTTACATCAAAATTGAGAACATTAGTTCTACATGATTCAAAGCACAGGTTTGAAGTATAATGGCAGTCATGTGCCAGTAGACCTATGTGTGCTTTTATCTATTAAATAAATACTTAAACCCAAGTACATCAGCATTGGAACCAATGCCAACAGAACTTGGAACAAGAGTACAAGTAGGAAAAAATCTTAAGCTTTTTTAAACATACTTCTTTAAAGTAAATGCCAATCCTGGCACTACTAAACATCTCTTTGGGAAGGCACTTGGGGCACGTCACTTTGAGGTGACATTCCTTTGAAAAGAGAGTCCTAACCGATCACTGTTACATTTTAACAGTCAGGAGTCCCGGGCTTAGCTTGCAGTGTATAGTATGAGCTCCACGGTAACATTTACAGCTATAACAGAATTCTTGGTGAAAAATTAGCTTTTAAAGTGAGCATGATAATCTCCAAATGCTTATTTTACTTACCTTGAAACTATTTGTACAAGATGCTTTTTATTCCTGCGAATAATTTATATTTTACCAATGGAGCACTAATGCCCACCTCTCTAATAAGTCACATAGGCACTATGCAGTAAGGACTCCAGCTGTTGTTTGGTTGTTTGTTTCATTTGCCCATAGCGAAGGAAAAGTTTAGCTAAGGATTTTGAATATTTCAGGTCACTAGAAGCATATTATATATACTCCCACTAAAGGAGAGGTAAGCAGGTAAACTATTTTACCTGAATGTAGCACAGAACACAGTGAGCTCAGTGCTTAAGTGCATGTTAGGAATACATTCCATAAAGGGAATTGTAATACCATTTCTAGCCTCGTAACACACACCCTTCTTGCCTCCTGCAGACCAAGTTTGCATAGACACTTACACAAAATGGAATACTGGCATGTTATAGGATGCCAGTCTTGGAACCTGTAAATAATTTACCTTTTTTAAAAAAAAAAAAAACAGGGAAATTTAAATTTATTACACTTAAATTGTGCTGCAGGCTAAACATGTTTGTAGAGCTTCAGCAGAGAAAGGACGTGCTGCATTGTGTGAGGTGGCAGTCTCTGAGCAGCAGCTTTGGGGTGGTACTTACTAATAGTTGGGTGAGAGCTGCGTGTGCAAGTTCTAGTCTGCGCTGGCAGTCTGGGATCATCATGCGTGATTCTTGCAAAATCTCGATCTGCCAAGAGTGGAAGCCAATGAAAGGGAAACATAGTCCAGAGAGTAGTTTTACTTTTCAAAAGGAGCTCTTACTCTGAAAACTCAGGCATCATCTAGGAACTTCAAGACAGTTGCATATTTTCTTTTTATTGGCTTTTTTATTAAAATGTAATGACTTTGCATAATTGCTTACAATTCTTATAATACATGTTAATAAAGATTTTACCAGACACTTTCATTTCCTTTGTGTTTCATTAAATACAATTTATTAAGTGGAGAAAAAGAAGTATTTAGAATATTTTTTCCCCCCTTAGAAAGTAGCAGTACTACCTGGCAAGGTTTCCATATAACATTTGTTAAAAAATGCTATTTAGGACAAACTTTCTCCTGCTGTCATGAAGCAGCTTCATCCAAAATGGGATCAGCTGGTTATATAAATATCTCCTGCATCTTTTGAGTAATAAAGAAAAACAGTGTTCAGATAATACCACATAGAGATAATTACTGCATGAAAAAAGTTATTGAGTTATTGATCACATTGTGTGCACACTGCAGGAGGCTCTGACTGAAAGCCAAAGGTAAAGAAAAATGAAAAGCAAAGACCAGCAGGCTCATATTTTTGATGCTTATCATGCATAAAAAGTTATTACTTATCCTTGTGCTTCATTTTAGGAGAAAGATTATTCTCACCATGCACTTTGAACAAAATTACTAAACTGGCACCCCACTGAATCTGAACATCCTGCCTCCACCTTCAGAAAACAACTTCAGATTTATACGAGGGAATACTTATTTCATGGAACATTTCTGGACCTCAAATCCATCCACTGAAAAGAAAAGGTGTGCAGAGTTGTTCAGTAATGTTAAATCTATGTAGAAATGAAAATCAGTTAGATATTAAAGTGCTAAAACTCTTCTGCATTCAGGATAATGTGCAACAGAAGCCTTTGACTTTAAATGTCATGGCTGTGTTGCCTGTTCCTTTCAGTGTTCAAGCTGGAGGGTCTGGGAGCACCAAAGGGAACACTAGTCTCTTGAGGGAAGACGAGCTATGACTAAGAATTTATTTATGCATAGAGTCCTTTTGTATTAAAACATTCTCATCATGCATTTACGTGTCACTGCTCAAATCCTTAGTACAAGCCACTTTTGAAAGAATTTTCCTTTTTTGTTTCTAACTTCATTTCAACCAGCCTTAGATAAATACTTCAATGAAGCGAGAGAGAGATGGCAAATGTTACCACCACCACTAAGTTAAGCATCCCCAAACTGCAGTTCTTGACAGCATTATGACTTTTCTTTAAGCATCAGTATTAGGGTGTATTAAAAATAAATTAATCACTCTCCATATTACACTGTGAGCAATGAATGAATAAAGCTTCTATAGAATACTTCTATGGAATATAGTTGCCACAAACCATTCAAGATGATGCCTGCTGCTTTGTGGGCTGCTAGTTTGTTCTGTAAAGAATTCCTCCAGGGCTGAGAATCCAATTCTGACCGCCCTGAGCTGCTACTGCTAACCTGCTGGGCACTGTGGGCTGGGGGATGATGTGGAAAGCAGTAACTCATTTTATATATCCCATCAAGGAGCTATCTGGGAAGGGAAGGATAACCTGGAATCTGCAAGCTGGAGTCCTGGCTTCTGGAAGAAAAGAACGTAAAACTGCCCATACCACACAGTTTGAATCAGAATTTGACATAGATCTATGCTTGTTCTGCAATACTAAATTAAAAATAAATAGACAGGAGAAATATAACTCTTAGAGCCTCTATATCCAGTAGGTGCAAAGAGTTGTAGAACAGAAGTGGCTGGAGAACCAGGCAGTACTAAACTGAATTCGCTCCTCAGATTCCAGTAACTTCCCAATGATCTTCTTTAACAAAATAATCCTAGGTAGACCCATTTACTGCTACAAATCTATATAATAAAGCAAAGCCCAAAGCTTGAACAGTTAGATAGACTTTAAGACTGAAATTATAAAAAGCCTTTCCTTTCCAAACTCCATGACAATTAAACAGCAGCCCTACTAGTCAAGAAGTCCAGAACTTTCTGGCTAAAAGTTAGTGAGTTTAACTTGAAAGCAGGTCTTAGCGGAAGTTACTATGTGAGAATGATCTCAGTTTGGGAAGAACCACAAATATCTACAAGGTTACCGTGAATTACAGCACCAAATAAAAGTATTAAAAACTGGAATAACTGAAGTGCATCTAAATAGAGTGTTAAAAGAAAAAAACAGCAAAGCACAAAAATATATGCAAAGACAAGCAAATTGGTTTTGTTGTCAATAAGTGCACCCTCAGAAGAGCTATTGTGACTACTCTGAGGATGACATCCCAATTCTTTCTTAGGTATTGAAAAGCCAGTATAAGAAATCTCTTCAGAAAGCTGAATTTCTAGTCAATTCTCTTTCTGTATTGAAGGATTTCTACTAAGAAGCCTGTCACCTTTCAAAAGAACGCAGTCTGTTTGTATTTGATTGCTGGTGTGTATATAGCCTATCTACAAAACTCAATGTGTATTTTTCTTCCATTGAATCAAATGCCAAGAACTCGTATCTTAATACCTTATCTTTTATGTGTTTCCCACAAATTTCAGATTGCATTGACACATAACACTGAACAGAAATGCCAGTTACAAACTACAGATCATTCATTAAGTGGAAGTGCACCATTGAAAAGAAAAATTAAAAAATTGCACATTCAAAATAAGCCCAAAGGCCAAAGACAACTTGGTGACGAACACCTGAGGACGCAACGTCCAAGGTCTAAACAACTTGGACTTTAGCAGGTCCCACGGTAAGAAAGTTCAAGTCAGTAGTTCAACTTAGCAGGGCAGACAGGAGTGCTCAAAGGAGGGAAGAATCTCTAATTCAGGATTATCCAAGCACTTACATTACATTAAAACATCAAGTTTTTGATACTGTAAGGATATGCTTAGAATAGAAATAAATACTAGTGGTTAAGAGCACCAGTACTAAGTATTCTGCAGCAGGAAGCAACTTCCTTCAGCCTAACTGACACATATAGTAGGAGCAACAAAGCTTGATCAGCTTCAGAAAGGGTGGAAACCCTTTTTTTCCCTGTCTTCCTGTAGAGGAGAGGAGAACCCAGTTACAAAAGAAATGAACTTTCTCTCATCCCACTGGTTACTGAACTTTTAAAGATATAAATTTGTACTACTTAAGGACACTATCCAAATAAGTAAGTGAAACATCAGACTCCTTGTTAGTATTTTCATTTACCTGAACAGCTAGAGCTACAGAGGTCAGTTTATTAAGCAGAGGTCACCCATTCTTAGGGAACATACAAGGGGCTATGAGCACAATCACACTGCAATGAAACTAGATGTTTCGCCTGATCTTCTTGTAATTGATTTATAAGAAGACCCAAATCTTTATGGTCAAACTGGTAGGGTGTAGGGTGCCAAGAAGTAAAAACTGAAAAGCCCACTTGAGGTAACTGGAGAACTTCTCCATTGCCTAAACAGACCATCAAAATGAAAAAGCTGCTGAGCAGGCTTGAGTACTCCGCAGTGAGACATGTAGCTTGCTCTTATCTTCCACACTGATTTTCCCCAAACAACATAAATGACTTCCACGTGTATCTCTGTTTTAACTTTCTCAGGAAATAATCTACCTTTCTACCTCCTACTCAAAGTAAGAGAAAAAATGGGTTTTTTTTCTGCTAATACTTGAAGAAAAGCACTATTAGCAAGACTGTGTTTACTCTATAGCATGCAGGTATTAAATTCTATGTTCAGTTCAATAGATGTTTGCTTCATTTGGGAGAAGTAATTTAGAATTCTAGGATAACTATTAAAAAAAAAAAAAGAAAAAAATGAGTCAAGGCACTGATAGGTAAGAGAAACTGCACAGCCCCACTGAGAGGAACCGAGGACTAGGTACCTGACACTCTTCCCACACTCGCATTAGGAAAATTCCTCCTGTTAGTCTGCACTCCTGGGTGGCTAGAGTGAAAAGGTTTTTGTTGCAGATAAAGTATCAGAAAACCCTGTGTAAATTTTTTATATATTGAGAAACGTTAGAACTTTGTAGAAAATAAAGCTTCATTACTAAATAAAGCTACACTGCAGTATGGCTGCCTTACTTGGTGGAACCAGTTACCGGTTTTGGTGAGTTTCTGAAGAAATCATGTTCAGAATTTACAAAAATGAATATAAAACGTTGAAAATTTGCAATACTTAATAATCTTTCTTTCTCAATAGCCTTTTGATTCAAGATAGTGTGATTTTGAGATATGATTATGAAAGTTTTTCTTTTATGGTATATTTCAAACACTGCTCTTTGTTTATGCTTTTCCGCCAATGTGATTGCTAATAAATCTCTAGTAAAAGCTTTCCTTGAGGTTCTATATCTCCCATCTACATTTTGTAAGGAAAACTAAATGCTAAGAGCTTTTGCTTTTCTTTTTAAATAAATTATAAATGATGAAAAAAGGAAGGTTTTCCCCATACAGTAATGCTAGAAATTTTGATCCTTGATAAAAGAGCCTTATATACACGCATAGCAGCCCTGAGAGCTAAGCTATTTTAAAAACAGAGAAACATAAACAATAAGTACAGTTTTTTGGATAAGGAGTTACTAATTAAAAGCAATTCTTAAAGTGTGTATCTACAGATAATTTTCCTGAAGAACATTTTGAAATATTAACTGTTAACCTGCTTTAGAGCAAACTCTCCTGCTACTATGTAATTTTCTTTAGTGTAAATGATTTGATCCTGTGACAAGTGCATCCCTTCTTTCTGAGCCTCCAAGTTCAGCACAACTTAACATATTTACACCTTTCAGAGTGTAAAGTGTGCTAAAAGAACAAAAAATGAAGATGTCATTAGAGGTATTAATTGCTTTCAAAATGAATTCAGGCAACTTCTGAATGAACTGGGACTGTCATTTAAGAGTGGCAAGAGCTTCTTCTTTCTGAAAATACTCTGCTGCTCCTGACTTGGATGAGGCTTTGCATTTCAGTGAGGAAAATGTGCAGTCAAATAGCCAGGTGACTGGAGGACACTAAAAATGGGGATTGAATTCATTAGCTCCGGTGAGCATCTGCACATCTTCAAAGACTGCAATTTCTGCAGCCTCTTGGAGTCAGGCAGTAGTTGGGCAGAAACAGCTCAGGTCTATAAATATAATGCTTTCTGCAGATTCTACTTTGTGTTTCTTTCCCATGTCATAATGAAAACAATGCAGGCCTTGTACACATTGGTTGACAACTGAATTTACCCAGGAATATATTGTAGCTTCTTCTAAAAGGTTTCTTCCTAACTTGTTTTTGTTTTTATTTTCAGGTTCTTAAACCTAATTTTCCACTGTTCTAATTCACTGTTTCTGTGAAGATTTAAGTGAGTTTATCTGGAAAATGCTCATGGGGAGAAACATGGTTAAAAGTTAACAAATTTGCTTGGGAGAAACAAAAAAAACCACTGAGTCATGCAAAACTTCTACGAAGAAAATAAACAAACCTCCCCAACCTCCCTTCTTTCAGGGACAAGGAAACTTGACATTCCCTCTCCTTCCAAAAGGACATGGACCAACTGCCTGCAACCACCCACTGACCTTTGTGGGCAACCTGGCAGGAAAAATTCCAACTATAGTAACTGTAACTGTGATTCTGAAGGAACCTTTGGAGCACATGAAGCTGCAGCAAGTGCACTTCTAGCGAGTGACCCCAACAACTCCATCAGCTGCTACGAGTTAACCTACCCACTGCCCTCTCTGCCCATGTTTTTTCCCAAACACATCACATTTCAGGGTAACATTCCTGCTTAACCACTTAATTAACCTGATTTATCTAGAACAGTTCTTTTTAGGTGCTTGGCATTTTTGAGGAATAGTGCTCATGACGGCCTCCTACTCAATGGCAGTGATAGCCATCCGATCACCAAGTGCCAAATTGCCATATAATTTAACATTTTGAAAGAAGGAAGGTTTCTGCAAAGGAAGTTTAACAGAACTTTTAATCTAGTGTTCATATGCCAGGAGTCTGGAAAGAGGTACAAGATATTCTCTCATTTAAGGATGTCTATGATTAAAATAAAGCAAAAATAAAAAAGCTTAATTTACCTGCTTCTTAATTCCATAATCATCACTTGCTTCAGCTTTCATTTTTTCTATCTTTTCTTCTTGCTGTTTTGCTTCTTTTTCATACATGACTTTTTCTTTTGCCAGCCTGCAATTAAACCAAGTGATCATGTTAATTTGGCTCCGATACGGTAAAAGGTTACACCACTGAAAACAAAAGCAGAAAATTTGAAAGCTGCAGCCCTCTAAGATATTAGATGTTTTTTCAAAGACAGGCTGTTTACCACTTCAAAGACTTGAATCTATGAAATGCTGCATTTAGCTATTATCTACAATACTTCTTTTAACAACATTTTCAATAATAATATTACTATTTTCAAGGTTCCACGTAGAGCATCCTAAAAAGCTGTATCTTAGTACTTCATTTCAAATGTATAAAGGAAACAGAAAAGGAGTTGCCTTGTAGATCTGGATGACAGCTAATGAAGAGGAAAGCTATCTTTGTATCTCAAAAACAAAATTCACTTCATAGGAAGCTGAAACAAGTTCTGTATTAAGATATTAAGATGTCTGCAAAGGCAACGTTGCTTTTATCAGCTTTTACAGAAGCTTATGTCAGAGCTTCTCAGTATCATCCAAGTTTTGAAAGTTTTGCAGCTGATGAATAACGCCCCTAATGGCACCAAGTGCAGCCCCTCAGGAGACAGATGATAGGGTGACATTCTTCTTAGCAGTGACTTTTAAAAGAGGCATCACCTTCAAGTGAAAAGAAATAGCAGTTTCAGCCTCACAGACTATAATCCCAACATTTTTTTGCTCATCGCAATTACATGTCATGCCATTAAGTACAATATCTCATATACTAGTTTTGGCACAAAATACTAAAACTTTCCCAAATGACACGATCGCCTCATAGCCCTGTGGGTCCTTGCAGTACTCGCTGTGTTTGTGTTGATGGTAGCTTTGGAGACAAAAGTAGCATTTCTGTAATTTACCTCATAGCAATTTTATTTATGATCTCTTTTTCAAAGGAAAAGAAACCTGAATTTCAATCCTAATGATGGATCCATGTTCGGAAGAAGGATGCTTTTTGCTAACAAATGTACCTTTCAGACTAATGTGGGGTTTTCTTTTTTTCTATGTTTTCTTTTCCTGCATTTCCTATAGAGAACACAGCAAGCTGCTAAGAATATGAGCAACAAATTTCTGGTCCTACGGGAAAAAACAGAATTGCCTTGAAAGTAATGGCTGAGGCTATTAAGGAAATGCAGATCCTGAATGCCTATAAAAATACACAAGCTAAGAACATTTATAGGTCTTAAAATGTGGCTAAGAGCAACAATGAGGTTCAGTCTGGGGAGACGAGCAGGATTTTATCTGACTTCAATATGCAAGGCAATTTCTGTTTCAGAAGCAAAGTGGATTTTTTTTTTCCACAGGCTCTGTCAAATACAGCAACTGATAAACATAAAAAATCCTGAAGGTCAGAAGGGAATATTAAGATAGTCTAGACAGCTGCTCTGTAGTGATTTTTGCATAATAATTCCACATTCGTATACCTATATGCTAGATCATATAATGCCAGATTGCGTTCGAATTATCCTTCTAGATCTGGAGAAGGATGAGGCAATTCCTGGCTGGTGCTTTCAAGAGAAAAAGGAACACTGAGATTTGAATGCAAACATGAGTGTGCACCAAAGAAAATCTTTCCCCTAACCAGAACAAGCGTCAGATTAGCCTATATTAGATAAAATTGTTTAAGTGGGAGAATTTAACAGTCAAAAGAACGCAACCAGAGGCAAGAAGCAAAGACTATATTATAGAAAGGAAAAGAGAGTAAATAAAGGTCTTGTAGAGAGCTTCATGGTCACGTTAGCGCATCAGAGCAAATTAATTCCTAATTTGCCACAGTTAAGCACTCCACTAGGAGAGCTGCTGAGGATGGACAGCTCAGAACGCTGGGGCAATGGGGACCTTTTGTGAACTACAGCTGCAGATAGAGCACCCCAAGAATACCTGAAGTACTTGGAAAAAAAATGCTAGAGTATGTTCTAATACTGGAATATTCAGGTACTCCTGCCTGCTTTTGGTAGAGCTTGTACAACATCCCACATTGTGCTGCCCAGAGAGCTTCACGCTGCAGTTCCTTATGGTTTGCAGTGTGGGCACTTTGGGGCAGTTTCTACAAGACAGCCAAGTATCAGCTTTGAAAAGTACTACCAGGGAAAGACAGCTGCCTAATTACTACTAATAAAGACACTAAATCAGTGGCTGTAATTTCAGGTACTGCAACTAGCTCTAGTATCAGCCTCAGCAATTATTGATTTAATAGGGAATGAGTTAATTGTTTGATCAAGGTTGCTTGATTTAATTCCACACAGTATTATTTGCTTTGCTATTTTTAGGTTCCAAAAAAAGTTAATTTTAATCAACCAGAGAGACAACTGATTTTTTGATGAGGACAGCAAATTCCCTCATGGGCGTGTGTATGCGGCAGTATAATTAAAAGCAGCTTTTATGTGCATCCACTTATTATAATGTGTCTGCTATTAAAACAAAAGATGACTTGCATCACTAAAACTTGCATTTGGGATTATTTGCATTTTTAGCTGGAATAACAGCCACCGTATGTTTGTCATTACTTCCATTTTCACGTTATATTTTCATATTCACATCTCTGCATGCTAACTTTGCAAACTGAACGCCAGTCAGATTTGCCTACTTCCATCAAAAGGGAAAGCACGGCACGTTCTGGCCCACTTCAGAAACAGACTTAGCTAAGTGGTTTCTGTGTCCACCTTTTTCAGAGCTGGATTCCTAAGAATTATATATGCATTGATTTACCTACTTTCCTTTTTCTGTGCTGATTGTCTATTTTAAAGGCAGAACTTGAGGCATTCCACAAAAGGGTCATGAGAATATTAACAAATCCTGGAAACATTACATGAAACCTGGGAAAGAGACTATATTAAATCATTATCTTTCCTTAAAAAAAAAAAAAAAAAAAAAAAAAAAAGCATAGGGGTTAATTGTCCATTCCTGAGGAACATGAACATTTCTGGCAGAGAACAAACAGCTTGGAGGATAAGGAGTCTTAAGTGCAGTAGTTAGTGGTTGACTTATGCTGCCTTCTTCTTTAAAAAAAAAAAAAAAAAAAAAAGTGAAATGTATAGTGGAGTGATATTATCCTTCAGTCACCTCTTCCTAATAATTTTAATAGAGGTCTGCACAAAAGTACCTGCAAGACACTTCTCTTCCTCTCCTCAAGATTCTGGCATTTCAAAAAAGTTCTAATATACTAAAATAGAGCCTTTGTAGGTGGTGTGAATTTGCAGTGACCAGAGAAAAAGTAGCTCACTAGTCCTGGAAAACAGCCAGACGATAACTTGTTGCACTTCAAATGCACAAATCACTCATGGTTTAAAAAGAAAGGAAAAGAAAGGAAAAGAAAGGAAAAGAAAGGAAAAGAAAGGAAAAGAAAGGAAAAGAAAGGAAAAGAAAGGAAAAGAAAGGAAAAG